ATCTATATATCTGTAAAAAAAAACGTCTCATGGGGGTCCGTAATAGGATTTTGAGGTTATGGTGCGGTTTCTTTTAAATAAGTATCGATTCGGTGATCCAAATGACAATGACATATATTACATCGATTTTTTAAATGACTCACTTTATTTTCAGTCTTTAACAAAATTGCTATATCAGTAAACTTCAAATGACGATATCTTGCACAGAAAAAAAGATATTCCAAACTTAGAAAAGGGTTTTAGAGGGCTCCTTTGAGATAGTATACTCAGTTTTCAGAAAAAAAAATTATCCAAGATGTTATTGTACCTCAAAACAGCAAAAAACAGCATTTTTTGCACTTTTAGGTTAGGATATTTAAATGACTTGATGTGATAGAGTAATTCTAAGGTTAGATTTGAATTCAGCGACCCAAAATCTACCGGAAATAACTAGTCTTATCTAATGAGCAAGTTCACGTCGGGCTGTGTTATTAAATATTAAATTAATTAAACACCAATATTATTGTATGATTATTGGATGATGGCAATTAAAGGAAAGCATAATGAAATAATAAAATTTTAACTTACTTTATCTAATTTTTTTTACATCGTTTAATATCTTAGTGTTTTGATTTGATGTTACAGTCAAAGCTATTGCTTGCAAGAAACTTTATGTTTATATAAAATACTTTATATTATAGTTACTCGTCTAACCTAATAATCAAAAAAACAATACTTATATTCTACTATCACCAATTTAAAAATTATCAATGATATAATTTGCGTATTAAGACAATAAGTAAATGTTGTTACTATTAGATTATTAGACACACACACACACACACACACACACACACACACACACACACACACACACACACACACACACACACAGAGGATGTTCTATATCAAGCGGAACAATGCTCTGCCCAAAATTCATGCTTATAGATTTTAATGATCTTGAGCTTAAAATGTTTGTTAATAAAATATGGCTTCCGAAAATCAGGAAAAATCAAGGTTTTGCAGAGAAACGTTAGCATAACAAAAGAAAAAGATTAAGGTGAAAAAAGTCTGTTATTAGCATGCTTAAAAAGTTGAATAGGCAAGTTAGCGAAATTTAACATGCCGGATTCAAGATTGCGTCTAAAAACCCAAAAATCGCCAAAAATTTGTATAAATCGAAACTGTAACTCAAGATTTTGATATTTACACTCTTTATTATGGAGAAAGAAAGGATTATGGAGAAACAAATTTAAATTCCACACCGTTTTAATAACATTGTGATGTTTGTATCACTTTTAAATAAAATAATTCGAACTCTCGTAATATAGCAAATGAGTAAGAATTTGTTTCCAATGATTTTACTCTAATTGTTAATCAAATAAATAAGTAAATCAAATGTAAGTAATTCGAATATACATAAATAGGTATAATGTTTCGAGGAAAGTCAGACAATGCCCTGGTTTCTTATGGTGCGAGTTGTCCCATAAGCAGAGCTAAAGTCTTTCTTTGATAGGATATAATTCGGCCCAAGTTTCTTATAGCGCGAGATGTTCTATAAGTCGAGCTCAAATTATAAGGAAAGGTTAGTCTTGCTTAGTAAATCACAATGAGAGAAAGAACTTAGGTATTAATCCAAGTTTATTCAGACTCATGCGCTCACCTTGCAAGGCTAGAAGTGAATGCTAGCCTGTGCAAAGGTGCCTATTTATACATAGATTTTCCCGCTTATTATTGCAGGAGAGATTTCATCGAAAATTCGAGAGACATTCGCGAATTTGGAGAAATGAGTTTTCTTAATTTACAAGTAAATAATCATTAATATTAAGTTTTTAACACATGTAAACTTTACAGAATTTGTTATTTGTTGATTTTATACAATATACAATTATCGCTAATAGTGTCGTCAAAAGCTATTAACTAATAAAGTTAATTAACGTGATATTACATTATTTACAATAGAAAATTATTAAATTTTTATATAACTTTATAGTTGATTAATTTTGGAAGTATTCTCCAAAATTAATTATTTAAATTAATTAATAACATTTGAATTATGACTAATTTTTCATATTTGTAACGGTTTTTTTTCTAATCTTAATATGCAATTATTAGATTAATTATATAACATTTCTAAATTATAAAGTTATCATTATCAAGTATAAACTTAATATTTTCGTTCTATATGTAGCTTATTATTAATTGTTTATTTACTAATAACAGTTATTATTTAGCTGTTATTAATGAAACCAATTCTTACTCATGTTCTATGTTTGTTCACTTTGCATATTAATTATTTATATTTTTCTAATATTTCATATGTTAATAAATAAATCAACTTTTGCATATTGATATTCATTATTATTTAATAATTGAATGAGAATTTTGTTATAATATTATTAATCTACATGCTAAAATGTATATAATCAATACTTTGTTATATTAAAATTATCTATAATTAACATATTTTTCTTAATATCATGAATCATTATATCTATGTCTATTATTTTGTGACGTCACGCTGTTTATTTTGATTCGACTCTTATTTGTATACAGTCGCGTAAACAGTGAGGTAGCGCCGCTTAATGTATTGTTTTGACTAAACAGATAGATACGTTAGACTAGTTGCAGTCATTCAGTGATTTAATAAATAGCTCATAAATAGGACCGTTACAACATTTTGGATATTATTGGACTTGCCATTTATAATTTTTATGAAAATCTATGGGTAAAATGTGTGATAGTATTTTAGCTTTTGACTTTAATATAAGGAAAGAAAATGTCAAAATCTAAAGTCAATCTTGATTTACTTCATTCTCAAAGATTTTTGAGTTTAAGGCACTATCTTAGATCCGCCATGATGATCTTATGAAATCAAAATCAGGGTATGGAACAAAAACAAACATTTAATGATTAGTTAATCATTAATATATTCATCCGAGACTAATTCCCCCTGAATTTTATTATTTTTCTCTGTTTCAACAAAATTTTTAGGTCGATTCGAGTCGCCAGTTTAGAGTTTCCATTTCTGACAACCTGAATATGAAATTTGTAACCAATCTGTAGCAATTGAGATAAATTAAAGAGTGTAATTATCAAAATCTTAAGTTAAAGTTTAGATTTACGAGGATCGTTTGAAAATCCGTGCAAAAATAAAAACTGCTTGATTTTTTTTAATAAATCTTTTTTATTTTTCAACATATTCTCCTTTTAGGCTTATACACTTCATCCAACGCTGCTCTAGTTTGTTAATCCCTTCCAAATAATAGGATTTGTCCAAGTCTGTAAAATAGGCATTCGTTTCTGCAATCACCTCCTCGTTTGAATAAAATCTTTTCCGCGACAGCCATTTTTTCATATTAGGGAAAAAATAGTAGTCCGACGGAGCCAAATCTGGAGAATAGGGAGAATGTGAAACGAGTTGGAACCCTATTTCCATCAGTTTTGCGGCCACAACTGCTGAGGCGTGAGCTGGCGCATTGTCGTGGTAGAAGAGGACTTTTTTGTGGGCCAATCGTGGACGTTTCTCTAGCAACTCGGTTTTCAAACGATCCAATAACGATGAATAATATTCGCCTGTAATGGTTTTACCCTTTTCCAGATAGTCGATGAAGATTATTCCTTGTGAATCCCAAAAGACAGTCGCCATAACCTTCCCGGCCGAAGGAATTGTCTTCGCCTATTTCGGAGCTGATTCCCCCTTCGTAACCCATTTTTTCGACTGTTTTTTGGTCTTACGAGTGTAGTGATGTATCCATGTTTCATCTACAGTGATGAAACGAGGCTTAAAGTTTTGCGGATTTTGCTGGAACAGCTGCAGACCATTCTTGCAACACTTCACACTGTCTCGTTTTGGTCAATCGTGAGCAATTGCGGCACCCATCTAGCGGATAGCTTTTTCATGTCCAAATGTTGGTGCAAAATATTATGTACCCGTTCGCTCGAGATGCCTATAGTACTAGCAATCTCACGCACCTCCACTTTTCTGTCAGCTATCATCATATCATGGATTTTATCAATGATTTTTGAAGTGGTAACCTCAACAGGGCGTCCAGAACGTTCAGCGTCTTTTGTGCTCATATGGCCACTCCGAAAATTTCAATTGTTTAATCTCGTGAGGCGTTTTGCCTTTGAAAAAGTAATGTTTAATCAATACACGAAATTCTTTTTCGTCCATTTTTTTACAACCACTCGATTTCTTTGATCGAAACGAATGTAAAACGCAAAGTAATTGCCCGATTTGGCTGAAACTTGGTGTGTGCTCTTCCAAGATATCTTGGATTCCAATCTTGGATCCGCCATGTTGGATTTCGCTAACTTGCCTATTGAACTTTTTAAGCATGCTAATAATAGACTTTTTTCACCTAAATCCGATTAAATTGGGCATTTTTTTCTTTTGTTTTGCTAACGTTTATCTGCAAAACCTTGATTTTTCCTGATTGAGCTGCCATTTTGAATTTATCAAAAAGCCCATATTAGCCTATAAAGATGGTTTATTAACAAACATTTTAAGCTGAAGATCATCCATTAGCATGAATTTTAGGCAGATCATTGTTCCGTTTGACACAAAACGTCCTATATATATATAATAAACAGAAGTCTGCTCCAATAGGTATACTGTCTTTGTATGATTGAAATAATTATGTTAATTGATCTGCACATTAATTGGTGCGATGATATATAGGTCCTAACATTTTGAGTTATTACCATTTGTAATAAATGATATTTGATTCTGCCCTGTTATAATGTGATAAATAATTAATAATGTTGATAAAATATTGATTTTATTTTTTTCTCTTTCTCTCTCTCTTTCTCTCTCTCTCTCTCTCTCTCTCTCTCTCTCTCTCTCTCTCTCTGTTTGCTGTATTACCAATATCATGAAAAAAGCAATGGAAAGGAGAAATTATTTTTCAAGATCTTCTTAGAACTATATGTTTATATATATATTTCGTTAAATTTATTTTTCTGGAGTAATGAGATTTTCGTAGGAACTGACCAAAATATTTCTTTTTTTTTTACAGAAATTCAGCATCTTTTCTACAGTAAAGAAAATGATTGGGGGTTTAGTCATTTCATGACTTGGCAAGATGTTCTTGATCCCGATAAAGGTTACATAAAGGAAGATACTATAACTCTTGAAGTAAGAATATTTATAATTATTACTTGATATGTTTTAAGTCATATGGTAAATTAATTTATTTGATGAAATATGTGTTGTATGGCTTATAAAAACTGAAAAATTATAATAATCGCATAAATGTAACTAATAATTTATAATTATATTAAATAAAATGTGGCAATACAGGTTGCTTTTTAAATACACAGTAATACTATTATATAATACTGTAATGATTTCTAATAATGTAAATAATTTCAATATGTTAATGTCTAAGATTAATTGAACAATTAAGTGGAATTAAAGCCTTCTCGCTCTTCAATCTAATAAGATCGACGCATGAGAACCAAAGTAATTCTAGGAATATGTAAGAGATCTGTCCCTAAAAGTATCCGACCTACTTTCATATTTTCACGCGGAGAAACTCAGGCGACCTGTGGGGGGTACGAATGTCATCAGCAAATCCTAACCTTCTCACCAGGAGCCCGAAATACCGATGAAACGCCTTAGTTCCCCCAACGTGTATTTGTTTACAACGATTTTTTTGTATTTATCGCAATTCGTTTATTGCTAAAAATGGTAGAACGAACGGAACAACGAATTTGTATAAAATTTTGCTTCAATCTCGGTAAAAGTTTGGTTGTGATCCTGAAACAAAACAACAATCTTCGCAGTGGAAGCTTCCATCCGAACTTTGACCGAAAAAAGCCCATCAAAGTCAAAACAACATCAAGTCAATATTGATTGTTTTTTTCGATTATAAGGGCGTTGTGCATTACGAATATGCTCCTACAGACCAGATAATCAACAACAAGTACTACGTTGAAGTTTCCAGAAGATTGCTTCACGCAATTATTTATTATTCGTTTTGGTCGTTTGCAGCTGAACTTGTATTTTTTTTTTCAAATTCTGATACATTAAACTTGGAAACCCCGTGTAATATCATGAAAGCTGTATATATTTTGCTTTCTTTGGCTACTGGTTAAATTCAAGCTTGACATAAATTGTTTTTTGTGCATTTTAATAAAATTTCATGAATTGATGGTGGCAATTCATGATCATAGAGCAATCTATTATTTAATTTTCTAGCATCTAAACATAAACGTACTTTGCCATTCTTCTTTGGCACTATAGAATCATTAGACTGATGTAATTGCTCTTGGAAGGCCTGATAATACTTCATTTCATTATTTGTCTTATTTCTTTCTCAGCCTGTTTTCTATAGTGTATTGGTACAGGGTATGATTTTGAGAAAAATGGTTTATCATCTTTTAATCGCAATTCATGTGTATATTTGTTGATTGACCCAGGTTTCTTTACGAACACGTTTTTATATTTAACAATTTATATTTAACAATTGACAGTTTTAATGTATCTAATTGGCCTGTCGTTAACTTTTGACACGTATCAATTTTTTGTTCGATTTCTTCATTCTGGAGTTCGAATTTTGTGTCAACGTAAATTTGACTATCAAAATTCTTATCGTATCGTGATATATTGTGGTCATTTTAGCCTATAACCCGATTTGATTCGATGTATAATAAACAATGGTCATTTTCGCCTTTATTACACTCGAGTATGCTTATAGAAGCGTTCATTTCGTTGTCTATGTTATACTGTAGCTTTTCTGTGATATCATCTACTATAATCGTTAATTGTTTCATTTGGGTATCAATAATCATATTTAGTTTTTCTTGCATGTCAATTCCGATTATGTAATGTCTTATTAATTTCGGAACCAGTATGTATATTATATTGCTGAGTGAATTGCTTATTTTCATTGGTATCATGACTTGTAGCTTTACCTTATTGATTTGTTGCCAGTGGCTGATTGGATAAACTTTCCGCAGAGTGGCAAAGTTGGGCATGCTTTCAATTTTTGATATTTTCATTATAGAATTTTTTGGATATAGCAGTTACTTCGCTTCTAGTGTCAATGAATGTTTGCGCAATTATGCCATTTAATAATATATTTATTTCTAGGCATTGAGTCTTTTGACCATATTCATCAACCGGATCAATGTCATTAGCTAAATCTTTCCGGGTATCTATTAGTGTAGCGGATAACAATTCGATCTTGTTTGAAAATACGTATACGCTTAGTTGTGTGACGAGAGCAAGTGATGCGCTTGTTCTCGTCGGTATTTTCCTCAATTCCCCCTCTCTCGGCAAGGCACGGTGACCAGCGTTAGGCGCATTTAAGAACACGCCTAATGCATGGTCTTTGTTTCAGCCGTTGGAGATTGCCAAACGAGGCCGAGCCGGCCCGAAGTCGTCAAGTGGATGACAAAGTATAGAGGTGTTAAAAAGAGAGAGAGAGAGAGTTAGGGGCGTGCGTGCCCCACATAGGATTAGGTAGGTACGCGTCGCGAACCAATTAACGCATTGGTCGCGCGCCACCTAATAAGTAGATCAAGTGGGGAAAGAAAGAATGAGGAAGAAGCTGTCAATCGCGGAAACGAACGAATGACACAGACGGTAGTTAATCGATCAGCAATCCACACGGTTTAGTCGGTCAGCGGTGCAGACTGTAGTTGAGAACAAAAAGATCAGCCGAACGCACACGCCGCCAAGGAAACGAGAAGAACCGAGAGAAAAAGAGGATAAGTGCCTTATTTCAGCAACTGCACGGGACGCTAGCCGGCAAGAGTTACCCAGCGTCGGCCAGCAACATCCTCCGCAGGGCGCAGCCAGGCCCTCCGTTCCTACATTGAAGGTCAAGGCTCGTAAACTAATTTTTCTCTCTCTCTCTTCAGCGGTATAGCACAGCGTGTAATCGTAAGAGTCAGATAGGTAGTAAGGCGCACTCGCCCCGGCTACCTGCCCTAATAACGGTCGGCGTCATAAATTGTTCAGGTAAAGTACCGTTAAGGCGCGACCTCGCCGGGCGACTTTCTCTTTTAGTTTAAGTAGGCTGAGTTGGTTCGTGGTCATGGCGGTCATGTGCCGGGTGACGCGTGTTGTATGTCTGTTAGATTTATAAGCGCGATAAGTTATATAATTTGTTCATTGTATTGGTATTGTGTTAGGTGTTAAGAATACCATTGTGTTCATAAGAGTTAAGACGTGTTTGTAACATCATTGTGTTCATTAGGTTAAGAGTTTGAAATAGCTGGTTATAAGCATAATTATGTGGTTTATTCTTTCCGGTTTTTTTAAAGTTTAAGTGTAATTTGATTTTGATTGTGATCAGAATATGATTTGATTTGAATGTGATTTTATTGTGTGTATAATTTCTTAATTACTTTTAATTCTTTACCTCCCTCCTCCTATTCTCCCGCCTCGATTACTATGAGCGAATGCGCCTCACTTGGCCACCTTAAAAATTGATAACGAACGAGCTTTCGTTACAGTTTTATCTCACATATTCTTGTTTTGCGTGATCTCCAAGTCCAGAGATACAACTACATCTAGTTTCCCGATCTAATTCGTTTGACTTTAATGACGACTCAAGATTAATATGTAGAATATCTATATCGTTATGAGCTTTCTTCGCTAACCTTTTACTAACTGATGCTATCAACTGCTCTCTATTTTGCTTATGACCTTTATTTTTATTTAGAACTTTTACGGGGCTTACAGACTTTTGCGATGGCTTTTTATATTTTTCTGTTGAAACCGAATTTGATTTTTCTTGTTTATTTTTCTCGGACATTTCTTTTTGTTTATGCGCAGCAAACTTTTGATCATCATTATCGTAATCCAGCAATATATGAAACAACGCATTCTTATTTTTTAATTATTGACTAGAAAAAGCATGATGAATCCCTTTCTGAAAATGTTCACATAACTTCTCCATTAATTCGTTTTCGGAATATTGTAACACTAATTCTTTCCCGTACCCTAGGATAGTCGTAGCATAGCTTATTCAATATACCAGCAAAATAGTACTGACCAAATTCAAATTTTCTTCGCGTTTGACGCTGAATGTTTGAGTTCCACAACTGCTCTTTAAAATCTAATTTAAATTGAGAATAGTTTTTAATATCATACGCAAAGATGTACCACCAAACTTCTACCTCCCCCTCCAATGTTTGACTAATAAAAGCAAAACATTCATCATCTTGAATTTTTTGACACACACACACGCGCGCACGCACACATACACACACACACACACACTCACACACACACACACTCACACACACACACACACACACACACATATAAAGATCGTTCAAAAACTTCACCGTCCTTTTTATTTCAGTATCTCCGAAAATAGAGATTGGTATTTTGATTTTTGATACTATATCGAAACTTGAACCATTATTTAAAATATTATGCGATTGGAAATTCTAAATCATGTTTTTTATTTTAAATAATTTTTCTTCAAGTTCATTGCTAGTTTCATCTACACGCGTTTATAAATTTGATTTTACTTGTTCAACTAATTCATCTGTTTCATCAGAATCAATAAATTTATAAAACTTTTGCTTTAATTTTTCAAATTTGCTTATTTTGAATTGCTCATATACATCAGCTATCGTTTTAAATCTATCGTTCCATGCTTTCATTGTGTCAGACAACGCATCCAATTCATCCTTCCGAATATCATATTATAACCTTTTCGTTAATGGTGTTATTTTCTCCGAATTATTTGTTAATAAAGGGTCTAGCCGGATAAGATGGTCAACCCCCCCCCCCCCCCCCCCAAGGTTTCATCAACGGAATAGTAGCTTCTTGTAGGGCTTGATAAAAGACTATTCAAGCAAAACTTTCAGACCTCTAGGTGCCCAGGGGAGCCCTATAGACCCTAAAACCTGACAAAAAAAGCAAATTATAGGATTTTTTAAGTTCTACAAATCTATCGAGACGCAAATATTTTTGGTGCGAAATTCAAATTTTTAAATCAGTTTGAAATATTTAAAATTTATTTAAAAGAAAACAAAAAAAACAAACGGGTTGGAAAAAATATATTTTGTTCATTTTCTGTTATTCTATATGCCTGAATTTTTTTAGATTTTCAGAAGAGGTGTAACATCGAGAAAAAATTAAAAACCCATTTTCCATTTATTTTTCCGGTT